CATGGTTCTTGAATTAGTCAGCTCCCAACATGAGTTTGTTGCAGTCTGGCATCCCAGCCGCAAATCATGACAAGGTCCCCGTCATAGTCGCCCGCGCCCAGAGGGCAGAGACCACGGCCCGTCCGACTGCAAATGATGCAGCTCTTGGGACGAACTTGGCGTGGCTCGGGAGCGGGATCCTGCAATACATAGACTCGAGTCATTCATGAAGCAATCCATATATCGCTTAAGGCCGATAGGGGGCCAGGCACGCTTGGGGGGTTAAGAGGGTTTGGGCTTCGAGTGGGTTGCATGTTTGTTGCAAGCCAGCCCGTGGCATGCTTGCACCAAGAGAGCACACTCCACAGCCAAACAGAGCAACCCAAGAACGCAGGCGCAGCGGCCAGTTGCAAGAGGGGTGGTCAGCGCCTGGGCTGGGCTGGGGTTGGTGGGTTTGGGCTGGGCTGTGCTGGGCTGGGGGGCTGGGCTAGCTGGGCTGGACTAAATTGGCTGGCTTGGGTTGGGTTCTCGCACACGTTTAACGAACACTTGAAAACCAATGAACATGCCGTTCAAAGCGAAATATCCTGTGCTTGCGGGCTTAGGGTTTTAGGGTGTAGGGTTTAGGGTTCAGGCTTTAAGGCTTTTAGGGCTGAGGGTTTGTCAAAGGCCTCTCGAGGCCGTCGGGCACCAGAGTTGCGGGAAATCTCATTGCATCTTGCATGACGGTCGAGGGCCTGGATAGGGCCAGTGGTGCCGTAAACCAGGCATGGGACCCAAGTATCGTTCAACAAATTTGGTGTACACGGTCCGTTCAGGTCCCAAATTGGTTTTGTTGCTACTCTGACTATTCGAGGACACCGGAATCCCTCTTGATTCCCATACGGGAGTTTCCGAAAATAGGGGGTACCTTCTTTTGGGGGTCCTTATAATAAGGGACCTACTATTCAGGGTACTATATTAGGGTCCCCTATTTTCGGAAACTCCCATACACACACAGCTGTCAACAGCCCCGACGTGAGCCCCAAAGCAGTTCAAATCTCGGCCGGGATCAGCCCAAGAAACAGCTTCAAGGGAGTGCTAGGGTTTAGGGTTTAGGGTTTGGGGTTTAGGGTTTAGGGTTTAGTATAAGCAGCAGCACAATGCATTTCAGAGCTTTGGGGTTCTTTACCTTTCGGAGTTGGATGTTGGGGCTGGGGTCTTGACATGACGTCCTGGGAAGCTGTACTACCCAGTCTTCTTCAAATCCTGCGAAAGGTTTACAACTGCAAACCGACGGAGCCTGCTGAAAATGCAGATGTGCACGACCTCACTTCGGGGCTTGGGCTGGGTTCAGGCCTCGACTCTCGCTCTCTCTTTCTCTCTGTCTCTTTTTCTCTCGCTCTCTCCCTCCCTCTCTGTGAGGAAAGCCGACCGGATAGCCAAAAGCGGTGCTTCCGGGTTGAGGAGTGACGCATGAAAGCTGCTCCGAGAATCTAGGGAATCTAGGGCTGCAGTCAAAAGCTCTTTCCGGAGCCTTGAAGCTTCCTCTAGGCAGCATTCAAGACAACACAACCGGGACCACTCCGCAGCACCCTGGGCAGCCCGCGTCCGTAAACGCTCCGGCGTCGTCCGTACAAGGCACGCCTTCCGAACGACCTGCTCGAGAAAAGCTGGGCTTGAGGGTTTAGGGTTTAGGGTTTAGGGTTTAGGGACCTGCTCAAGAAAAGCTGGGGTTTAGGGTTCTGCAGGCTTTGGGTGCTGAGGCTATCTTCACCATCTCACGCATGGCCCGAGAATGTGGATATACAGTGATAGATCAAGAATGGTCTAAAAGTTATATACTGAACTTCATTTGCTTGCATCTTCTTGGTCTGCACTTCAGACCAAATCTCAAACCGGCTCTTGGAAATGCGATAGCTCGTTATGCGGCTACTACATACATAACCCCTCGCAAAATACAGACGATAGACCCTAAGTACATTTTTGTAAACCTTGAAGGCTACATAGTACAGATTATAGATGCTATATCATATAGTATATACTATATACTATATATTATATACTACATAATATTCTACCTGCCTTAAGAGCCGGATGAGCGACTTGGGAGAGGCAGCGGTCTCCGGCAGAGTCAACGTCTCCTCCACGGAACGGAGTCTAAAGCGGCTCTCTTTCTGGGGCACGGCACCAAGGCTGGGGTTGAGGGTTTTTAGGGTTTAAGGTTTAGGGCTTAGGGTCTGGGCCAAGGGTTTGGGGTTTAGGGTTTAGGGCTTAGGGTTTAGGGCTTAGGGTTGGGGGTTTAGGGCTAGGGTTTAGGGTTTGGGGTTGAGGGTATTTTGGGGTTTAGGGCTTAGGGTCTGGGTTTATGGTTTAGAATTTAAGGTTTAGGGCTTGGGTTTGGGGTTTAGGGTTTAGGGTTTAGGGTTTGGGGCTTAGGGGTTTAGGATTTAGGGTTGAGGGTTAAGAGACGTGGTGAGAAGGGGGTTCTGGGTTTTGGGGTTTCGGGATTAGGGCTTAGGGA